AACAAAACATTATATATATATATATATAGATGTGTGTATATATATATATATATATATATAATCACTTTAAATGATATTTTTAGTGGATACCCGTGCCTGAGTAGATGCTTCGTTTATCTTAAACAGTATTTCAATCGGCTGATAGACGAGATAAAATACCGTTTAAAAATAATCGGAGTGTCCATTCAAATACGGATATCCACTAACGATAGCGTTTAAAATGATTTTAAAAAATCTGTCAGATTATCAAGAAAAATCCATTAATTCTTTTAGAAATATATACACATCCTTGCTCGAGTTCTCTGGAATTTCATGATATTTTGATTTTTTTAATAAATTATTAACTAAGACCCCATGAGGCCAAAGAAGGAGAACGATATCAGCGAAATGAAAAGGCGCAGTATAATCATTTTCAATGACAATGTCTTTTTTCACTTTTAAAACGTTTTGAAATATAGAGAAAAAAACTAATCTTATTGGACAAATTTTTAGTGTGACAGGCCCAATGAGTCTTAAGCTGAGTCGAACAGTGTGTTAAGAGACAGAACAGAGATTTTGAAGAAACTCCTAAAAGATAGATACCTGTTTTTTTTTGTTGTTTTTTTTTTGTTTTGTTTTGTTTTGTTTTTTTTTTGTTATGAAAGCGAGCTCCCCATCCAAATACTAACTTCTTTACCTATATTCCTTACTCGTCCACCTTCCACTTACGCCAACAACTCCCCTCCATAAAGTTATGGTAAAAAAATTAAATTAATTTTTCCTCTATATTTTAGAATTTAGTTTATTTTTTTTATTTTATATTTAATGATTTTCATTTGTCTTCTTGTGTATGGACTTGAACACAAAATCCTGTTCTAAAATTTTAAATAAGCAGTCATCAAGCGTCCAGGAATGGATTAATTAATTTTACATTGATTCCTGTAGGGAAAATAGTTTTGGTTTACGGACATTTAGGATCACAAACGGCTTTCAGGAACGAATTAAATTCGTGAACCGAGGTCCCACTCTCTCTCCTCCTCTTTCTCCCATATATAAATTGACATTGAAGTCAATGCACAGTGGCTACAATCTGTTTCATGCTTAACGCAAGACTGTGGCCTCTGGGCGTTGACGTCAATGTCCACTTTTATATTTACATACGCTCTATCCCTGTTAATGAATATTTTAACTCCTAAATATAGTATACCTTAAATAAAACTATAAAATTATGTTTGGTTAAATAATTTAGACGTATGTCTATTTATTTTAGTTTTAATCCTTTCAAGTCCACGAATTATTTCCCCAAGTACTTTCAATTTCATCTGAAACCATTTTCAAGGGTTGCATAAGTGTTGTGCGCTAACACTGTAAATTCAAAATATTTTTTACCTCTGTGCAACAAAGATAACTTGTGATTTTTAAAAAATATTTTTTAATTGTAGTATTTTAATATAGTTCATGTATTTCGTCTATGTTTTTGACTGAAATGAGAATGTCATCTTTATATCTTAGGTAAGTGGAGGTTTTTGTCGTATTAAGTACGTTATTTTCTAGGTTATTCATGTAGCAGTTGCTAAATGTTTTGTTCCCAGTACGGAACACATAGAAACACCATTGCATTGTACGTATAAGTTATTTTTATGGTCAGAGAAAGGAACTTCTGTGGTAAACATCAAGAGTGATTTTTTTTTTGGGGGGGGTAAAATATTATGATGATTTTTTTAATGGAGAGAGACATGGATTGTAGTAGATATTCTTTATGATTATATATATCGTTTTCCTGACTGGAACGTTGGTGAATAAACTTCCACTGTCAAGTGAGACTATGGTTTCATTATTAGGTTTTTGTGTTTTTAGAATTTGGAGTAGTTCGTGTGTTGATTTAATACTGTATTTATTGGGTATATATGGTGTAATTAATGATTAATAACTTTGGTTAGTTGGTAAACAGGAGTAGGAAATTGGGATATGATAGGACGGAGAGCGAAGTTAGGTTTATGTATTTTTATAGTTCCATAAAAAAATCTTTATGTATTTTTATAGTCCCATAAAAAATTTATTCAAAAAGAAAATCACTTAAGTTACCTCCTTTGCACAGTGTTAAAAAATAGGCATAATACATCTAAATTGTTTAACCAAACATGCTTGAATGAAAATATGCTACCTAAATATATATATTCATTGAAATAATTAATGCGAAAGCTGTGTTTGATAATCACTAGTAAGACATTGGTATTTGGTTGGAAATTGGTGAATTTTAGAGATAAGTAACTAAAATTTATCAATCAACACATTTAACTTTTGAACCACAGGCTTATCTCAATAAGATTTTTTTAAGTAATTCACCCCAAGCAAGGCAGGAGTGCCGCTAGCACGCAAGGGGTTACAAGGGATTGAGAACAAGAGTAAAGAGGCCCTTTTTGAGGAAAGGATACAGAGAAGAACGGGGAACAAGATCAAGATATCAGATGTCGATTGACATTACACTTGAATATTTGATGATTATAGTTATCGGGGAAGCAAACATGAAGAAGGGAGTTCCACAGACGGGAAATGCGAGAGAACAAGCTGTTTGAGCAGAAGAGACAGTTACATTTAACCGTTTCGACAGTGAAAGGGTGGGACCGAGATGCCAGCCTAGTAGCTCGCTTAAATTCATGCAGTCTGGGAACCAGTGAAAGTAGCTCGTCAAAACAGTTGCCGTGAAAATACTTTTTGAAGAGACAGAGGGAAGCCACGGCACATCTGTGAGAAAGCGACTGTAGACGAGATGCCAGATCAGGACCTATCGCATTGCATATTCGTCTCTAGATTTTGTCGAGGAACTCGAAACGTACAGCGGCGGCAAAAGACCATATATTACAGCATTATTCCATTTATTTTAACTTTATATTTAGTTATTCCTTTTTCAGTTTTTATTTCTATAAAAGACATGTTTGTTTTTTTGGTTTTGTTTTTGTTTTTTTTTTTACTTTTTTTTTTCTCACGTCAAGTAGTCCGCAATTTTGTTACGGATTTGAATCAACCTACAACAAAAATGGAAAGAAAGGTTTTTGTTATTTTTTAGATATTTATTTTCAAATGATTAATTTATTAATCGGAAGGATGCGCGGATCTCCCGGCCCAGAAACCATTTTTATGTTATTTGATGATTGACTGTCTTGGTGTTCATTTCCGTCTTCGATCCACAAATAATAATAAAAACTCCATGATATAGATAATAATAAACTCATTAAAAATAAACATACCTTTCTAATTGATTGGTTGACATAATTAATGGTTATGGATGTATTTGGTGAGCTGTAAAGGACATTGTTATTTATTTGGAAATTTGTGAACTTTAGTTGTAAGTCAACCTACTCTTCGAGATTCAGTCTGTTTCACTGCTTCATAGGAATTGAACTCGCGTGGCTAAAAACAGCTTCAACCATGTACCATTTCTCTTCTACTTAACGTGTTTGTTTGAACAACATAAATAACAATAATAGTCATCGTCTCTCCTCCACCTAAACGGAACGTTCCAGTGGTGCGTAGATAACTCTCCTATAGTGCACTTTTTACACATAAACTCCGGAGGGTAATTAATTAGCTACTTAAAATTACATTCTGAGAAGATGATACTACACAGAACAATAATAATAATAATAATAATAACAATAACAACAACAACAACAACAACATCATTAAGAAAAACTTAATATAAATGTAATAAATTAATGTACTTTCTTAGTTGATTGGTTGACATCATTAATGAGAAGGGTGTTTCATGAACAGTAGTAAGGACATTGATATTTGGTTGGAAATTGGTGAATTTTAGACATAAGTTGCTACAATTTATTCAACAACTCCCTTTTGACATCTAGGGATTTATTAACCCCTTCATTTTGACTACCACGCATTTACCAACAAATTAGGTAATTACACTGGTACCCAGGTGTCGATATCGACTACTTTGAGAAACCATTGCATAAAATATACCTGTAATGCCATTTTAAACTCTAAACTGTGTTTGATGAGCAGTAGCAAAGACATTGATATTTAGTTGGAAAATGGTGAGATGTCATTCTGCTCTTACCGGTTCAGTCTTTTCCTCTAGTAAATTAGAATTAAACTTGCTTGGCTAACTTCAACCATCTACAAACTTTGGAATGCAAGTAAAAATGGCTCAAATGCTGCACTACGTTTGAGCTAATTATGTTATATTCCGTGCTAAGGGAATAAATAAGTAACACAAGATGGATACTAGAAGAAAGGTTTATTGTACACAACAAGTACAATATGAAATGAAATAGTTATACACACATGTCAATCTAGTAGTGAGTGCCACTAATTCGAAGGTCGGACGTGCTTGCGTCTTCTTACTCATATATATATATATATATATATATATATATATATATATATATATATATATATATATTCTCTCTCTCGTTGCCGTTTTCGTAGACAGTTGACTTTATCGGTACTTACTACCTATAGTGTAATCATTCATGGGGGTGCCGGGTTATTCCATTACATTACATCAAATTATTAGTCGTTGTATTTACATGACCCCAAGCACCATTGGGGATTCTTATTTTTTTAACAATGATTTTTAGCTTCAAGATCAACACACATATTGTTGCATTTTATATTTCCAAATCAGGAATTTATCGACCCCCTTTTGAGTCTTGAGCATTTATCGAACCACTGGATACTTCTGTGGACTCCTAGATTTTGGAGGCCCCTCATCAAAATATAAGCAATTAATGAATGCGAGAAAATTCGTTGCTACAGACGCTAGTATTTCACAGCTTAAACTCGGCGTTCGATCTTGTCTGACCAATGACGGCTTTCCATAACAAATTCATTGATAAAAAAAAATAAATAAAAGGTTGCACTACTCCCCACTGCTTATTTCTGTTCACGCAACGTCACTTACAACTACTTTTCTACTACCACTAATTCAGTTGTCACTGTACAGGTGTAACTACTACAAAAATTCAACAAGTCATTCATTTCTCGGTTATATTTCTTTTCAGCGATCTATCTATCTATCTATCTATCTATCAGCAGGCCTGTTTGTTATATCGACCTCTTCATTCCCGAAATCTATATAATAAGAACTGATTATCTGCCTGTTACACACTGAGTGAGTGTGACTTTGAATGTGGGTATATATTGTAACGTATATGCACGTGCGCGTTGTTAATTACATGCGCTTGTACCATTTAATGTACTCACAAACAGAAGCGCACTCACACATAATTTGACTGCGCTTGAAATAAGACATTGGAATAATACATTCCCCACCCCCGGACATCCTCTACCTTGGGCTGAGCAAATAAATCATAACGTCGGAGAAAAAGCCTTAAGAAAAAATAAGATAATTATAAGATTTATTTAACTTTTCGGAAATTTTTCGGTAATAGATTTAATTCGGAAATTTTTTTCTTTTAAATTTTGTAGGAATATTTTTAGGTCTGTCATTGTGTTGGAGTTAACTCCTCCTTAATTCTCCAAATATTTCACTAGGACACGCTCTCCCTACACTATAAATACTAGGTGATTTCTTTTCTCGTTCTGGCTTATGTCTCTGACTGTGTGCGATGTCTGTCGAACTCTCTGCTTTGGCAGAGAGGAACCCGGACGAAGCTTTGCCGAAGGGCAAAGTTTCGTCCAGGAAGGTAGACAGATCCCGAACCCGCTTATGCGGGTTCTAAGGGAATATTTTTGGCCGAGTCTACGGGCTCGGACAGACCCACGTTAAACTCGGCCTTGTGCCGCATACATTCCTTGTGGGGGGGGGGACTGTTAAATATCGGCTTATGTCAGAGGGTGTCCCCCAGACTAGGCTCTGCCGAGGGGCAGTCTCATCTCGAGAAACTGACTCCATTTTTACGTGGTCTCTAGGGAATTTTTGCCCGAGCCTTCCGCCTCGGATACCCCACTTTAAACTCGGCCTTGTGCCACATCTTGCTGAGTGGGGCAGCGGGTCAATTTCTTTTTACTTTGCATTTTAGCGGAAACATTTAAAAATGTGATGTATCGCAAAAATCAGCGTTTTCGTCCACTTGTGGGTATACGCCATGAAACACACATACGCGTACGTACAAACTCTTTACGTTCACACACAAACACAAATGTTAATGCCTATGTCCATTGTAATTTTGTTGTTTAATATATATATTTGTTGATATATATTGTTTGTTTTCTTTACATCTTCGGTTGGACTCAACTTGATTCTGGCATGTTCTTGTAGTCGGACCTTCTACTAGCAGGAGTAAACAGCTTGTCTTCCTACAACACGCAAACCTGTTGCGGAATTTAAGCTAATTGGATGCGTGAGAAGGTGAGACTGTGTGAAGGCTTAAAAATGCGCGCGCTCATTAAACATTCATCCACAACAAATAAAATAAACAATCATTTGAAGGCAATTCAATTGGAAGAAATTAAGGAGAAACAACATAGTTATAGATTTCAACAAATAACATGCATTTATATACGTTTGATATACACAAAGTGAATTTAAAATTACTTGTTCAATGTGATAAGTGAGATAAAATTGTAAGGAGTGACCATACAGTGATTTGGTGTATGAAAGCTTGTAGTTAAGGTTTGTCTATGAAATTAAAACAGTTTGATCTCTGCAAGGTGAAATTTCACTTGTGTGGGTTCAAATACAAGTGTGTATGTGTGCGACAATTGAAAATATTGTTTAAAGTCATAAGGAGTTATGTGCCTTTGAGTGATATGATGTAAGTTGATTAAATATACAATTACTACTTCGGTAGTGATAATGTCACTTTTTCTAGTAAATTATAAGTTGGGCCAATTCATGGGGCAAGACTTTTTGAGTTGTGTTGAGTTGCTGAGAGAGAGTGGCGGTTGTTGAGTCAGTGTGCTGGCGTGCATGGAGTTTGTTGGCATCTCTCAAAGACTCAGTTCCTGATTGCCAGAATCAAGTGAAGCGATCCTATTTATTGATTTTTTGGGTTTCAAACTGGCTCCAGATAGGTGAGCGGGAAAACAGATTTGTCACAACTTGCTACATTTTTAGGGGTCCTTTTAACCAATGAGAAATCAAGTTTGAAAAAGTGAAATGATGATTGGTTAAAGTTTATTTGGGGGAAGAGTGCATTTTTCCGCAGGGGTGAGTAGCAAATATGGAGGATTCCATTAAACCCACACGGTCCTCTACAATTGCATTAAAATATGAATACATGCACCCAAGTGTAGAGACATACAATTTGAATATTCACTTTTTTAATGTTTTGCACACAATTTACACTTTTGTCCTCAATTGTCTTTGAAGAATGAGGATCGAAAAATAGCTAGCCTTTTTTTTTGTTATTTTCTTGTTTATTGTTGTTATTGTTTCGATTCACCTTTTTATGGATATTTATTTTATTCTCCTTAATTTTCTTCCACCTTTGTTGTTTATGTACAATTTTAATATACCTGTTTTTATAGCATAAACAACATGTTGTAAATAGAATTCTATCTCAGACAAAGTAGTACTAAATTATAACTACTGACAATTCTGTCAAAGACTAATTCTTCATAGTAATTAAATTAATCTATTTCTCCTACTTAATATTTATTATAAGATTTGAGAATGACTTGCAGGAGGAGTGGCTGCTGGGCCTTAATATAATTGGAGTGTAATTATAATGTTTTTGTTTTCTGTCCTCTGCTGATTCCCTGAATGTTCTTAATTTATTATTTATTTGTTCACAAAATTTACATGTTTGTCCTCAATAGGCTCTGAAGATGGAAGGTCAAAAACTGGTCAACTGTTTCAGTTCACTTCTTTATGGGGATTTATTTTATTCTCTTTGCTTTTCTTACCTTTGTATGTTGTTTTTTATATACAATTTTAATATGTCCGGGTTTTTTTACATTTTTTTTTTTTTTTAATCATTTCACCTCAAATAAGGCGATAATGCCACTAGTCTAAGACATAGATGAAATACATGAACTACAAGAAAACTTTCAAAAAGCTCTGTACTTAAGATTACATATGAACTTAACAAGGACAAAAAAATCCCATTCCTCAATGTATTCATAAACAGTAGGAATAATAATATGTACTACCTCTCCTTATAAAAAAAAAACAACTAGTATAAACACGTTCACTCTTAACTATAAAAGTGAATGCCCTAAAAGTTACAAAATAACTATTATATGAAACTTAATAAACTGTAGAAAATCAAATTCTTCAGCAAAAAATATTTTCTACACTTAATTAAAAAATATTAAACAAACCCTCATTAATAATGACTTCCCTAGTTACATTGTTGATTAATAAATTAGACAAACTATTAGGAATATTAACATAAATAAAAATGAATACAATACATTATCAAATGACTCTAAACATATCAAATTACTGTATTGTAATCAAATGCATTCCAAATATAAACAGGAGGAAAAAATCCTAAAGAACTCATAAACACTAATATATCTGCCACCTATCCAAGAAAAAAAATAAAATGAATCATATACTATATTAAATTTATACAACCAACCTAGTTGTCCAAAACAACTCTTCTTGACCAACTAGCATCTTGCAAAAGGCCAACATTGTATATCAATTTAAATGTCCTTTAGGAGATTTCTGATAAAAATGTCAATACATGCATTGGCTTTACTATGATGATGCTAGCAAAAAGACTTACATTTCATTTGGTTGAACATAGCTCAATACATCAGCACTTAAAGGAACATTCATGCCCACACTCACAGATTACATGGATATTATTTGAAAATACATCTATATTACATAAAAAAATAACAAGCAAAAACTAAAACTCTATGAAGCCCTTTATATAAAAGCCCAAAATAAATAAACTTAACTATGAGTATAGCAACAAAGTCCTTAAATGCTTAGGAAAAAAATTATTACATACATATGAACAAAAGCAAAACAGTTACTCCCCTTACATGAAAAAAACAAAAAGAATGTGTGAACCTTAAAATCTAGAACACTGCATAAGCAGTAAAAAAAATGTACTGTTGAAATGTTTTAAATTCACAGAAACACATATACATAATCACAGGCAACTTAACACTCTGAAGATAGTCTCAGATGAGAGTGAAAGTACTTAGGAAAATAAAAACTATTCAAAAGAAAATTTTGGCATTTTTCCTACACAATTTTCTAAATTTACCAAAAAATTAATCCATGAAATTGAAATGATCAAAATGAAAACTAATTGACATGATATGTCTAAATTATTTAACCAAACCTGTTTGAATATGTAGAAAACACAAATATAATAACTGCATCCACCTGTAAAAAAAGATAAAAAATAATGGAAGCTTTAATAAAAAAGAAAAAGCTAACTCTTAACAATATTAACTACGAACAAGGCCACAATGTGCTAACCATATTCGGAAATTAAACATCCCTACAACACACTAAGATATACACATAATGCACACACTCAATTAAGCTGAAAAATCGAATCATCCTTAATAATGGCTAAAGGTATAGCCGAAAGCACTCGGAACTATAAAACATTTGGACAGTTTTTACACACTCTTTGTCCAGAAAAGAAAGCTCTTGTTCAAACACAAGAAAAATTAAATAAAAAGCTTAACCGTAGTACCTTGTCTGTTATTTTTAATGAAACATGTATAAATGAAGGATTGCTGCCTAAATATACAAATATATATATATATATATATATATAATCCTTTTAAATGTTCTAGGCCAGGGGCTGGCAACCTACAGCATGTCTGCCACATATGGCATGCCAAGCAATGTCCTATGGCATGCAGCCGCAAATGACATCAGGTTCTGGCAAGATTTACTATTTGCCCATAACTGGGACCCACATATTGAAAATAAATATATACTGAACAGTTATTGTTTTTTATGGATTATCAACCTTTATTAGGTTATTTAAAGGTGAAACTTATTTTTGGATTGTAAGAATATTTTTCTTTTTGCGAGTGAATATTGTATTAACAATATTTTAGATGATAATGATTTTCAGATACAAGTTCTACTATTTAGCCCATAACTAGAGTGGAGAAGAAGTAAATTCATACCAAGGGTATTTTTTGTGTGTGATTGAATATAACAAACCAGACTGTAATTCAAACTGAACTCAGCTATCTAATTTCTCATTCTGAGCCATTATCTATTACACTATCCTAACATCCAAGCTTAAAGCACCTGGTATTCCTGTATTCTCAACTGGTCAACCTTCTACTAATGACCAGGCTTGTTGTTGCTTAACTGTAACAGTGGATATTTAATAAACAAAAAGCAAATCTCAAAAAATAAGTAAACAAGGATTTTTCATTTCAAAAATAATTTTATTTTAAAAACAATTTCTTTCTGGAAGGAAAATCTTTTTTTTTTATTTATTTATTTAAAAAAGTGAAAACAAAAAAATTTTCTTGAGAAAAACACAAGCAAAGCTTATAAAATTAAATTAAAAATGTTTCAGTTCTGATGGAGTGACAGAATTCTCTGGGTCGAAACCCCTATAAACTACAGCTCCAACAGTAATGTAAATAATGAAAGAAAACGTACTGAGGAAGCTATCACAAAACTTCCTTTAATGAGATGCATTTTCTTACTAAAATATCAATATATTCAGTAATGATATTGTAGATTAGGAATTAAAAGGACTCATTCATTATTCCAAATACTTGATTATGTAAAGATGTTGATTTGTGAATTTCTAACATTAAACATTTTCATTACTCTGTATTTTTCCTAAAGTTATCTTTATCTTTGGCACTGACCATCAGTCAGTGCTTCTAGGAGAAAAATTTCAGACCTTATCCAAAATCTCACTCATACAAACATTAGAACTTAACAAATTGTACAAAAAGAATTTGATATGTTCTAATCTTTATATATATATATATATATATATATATATATATATATATATATATATATAATGAGAGAATGAATAATCAAAAATTCTTTTTTACCTCATGTGGGGAATAGACTATTTCAGCAGACGATGAAAGTGGTTGTCTGTCTTTTCAACCCTCAATATGAAATGAAATTCTTTGGTGGATCAGTTTTAATATTTTTATATTACTAGGATCCACTTGTATTATTTTTTTTCTTTTTAATCTAACTGATTTTCTTTACATTCTTTTTCTTTTTATCACTTTTATTATCCCCACACTAAATTTGCACCCTGTTACAACATTTCACTATTCCTGGCAGAAATTCTATCATCACAGTGTGGGATATTTACTAATCAGATAAATTTAAAAAAAATTAATTTAAAATTCCCAGCATCAATCATTCATGCACATTTGTGTAGTCACACCAACATAACAAATTTAGTCTGATGAAATGCATTGCAAGAAAACTTTGTCATAAAATTTTCCCCATTTTACATATATATATATATATATATATATATATATATATATATATATATATGAATTAGCATCAAATATAGATCAAATATGGATTGGAATCCAACAGGATGATAAGACAAAGAACAAATAAGAAATGTTTATCAATCTAACATGTTTCACTTTTATTAAAGCTTCATCAGAGAATGATTGATGAAAGAAAGACATTCTGGTATTTTTACTTTTGTCTTATTTGATTCTCATTGGTTTCACATGCATTCAACTTGTTGAACTAATGTTACTATTACCCACACAGCGTTAGAAGTAGGTAGGATGGTAGTTGTAGTTGATGAACACTTTTACTGTTTGTTCCAGCATCTGACAATTGATTTTAGTGTGTATCTAATAGTAATGCGAATGGGTTTGTAATTACCGGGATTTTAAATGTTTTTGCAGTTTCTTTTTTTTTTAAAAGAATTCATTGACAGAGAAGGAGATTATGTTCAAAAATACAAATTTCCAATGCTGAAATCTGTGTAGCCATATTTCAGCATTTTACTGTCACAACGGTTAAAAAAATTTAGATCACAGGAATTAACAAAAATTTGATTTGTTTAACAAAAAAAAAATGTCAAAACAAGAATCAACAAATACTTTAACCAGTTGAAAGGCTTCAAGAAAAAACATTTTTGTTGATTTTCTTTTTTACATTTTTAGAGTAAAATTTGGCCAATTCTAAGGAATAAAAATCTAAGAGTCCAACCAGGTGCCAAACCAACTTTTCCACTGACAACCTCATTAGAAGTAATTCCTCAACGTTTGTTCTGCAAAAATGTTACTTGATGCTTTCATTTCAGGAGGGCAAAGTAGATCTGAAGTGTTGATCAGGGATTGAGTCTTGGCCTGAAGAGTCAGGAATGAAGTCATGAGAAGTGTTTTCCCTATTCTTCTGGTCTTCAAGTTGCTTTATCTTCTGTTAAATTTCCGAAATTGATGTATTTCCTTTTTAGTGATTCCAATTCTTTAATTATTTGCTGTAGATTTTGATTTTTCACTGTCAATTCATTAATTTCCTGAAAGTGAAAAAAAAAAAAAAAACAATTAAAATAATTGGTTAAAAGTGGTATCCTATTTTTATTGATTTGCATCAATGTCAACTAGTGGGGATGAAGAAGTAATGTCTTTGGGCTTCTGTTGCCTTCAAGGTTTGGGAAGATGCTGATGGGAGAGTGATTTACTTAAATGCTCGGTTTTCTTTTTTGCCAACCACTGGAGTATGAGACACTTTCTAGAGATGGAGCATCCATTTTCATCTATATTTTTGTGCTTACTTGCATTATTGCCATTATTCAGACTATTATCTTCATCTTCATTGCCATATTCACATTGTTTCGGCTGTTGTATGCTCTGGCCTACTTCAAGTGACTGGAATTTTGAACTGAACCAAACCCTTTATTTTGTCCACCAGGGTAGATTGTTCTAGTTCCATGTGCCATGCCTCTTCCTGATGTCTCAGTTATTTCCCTTTAACTAAACTCTCCACGTTTTGGTTCACCACTGATGTGGCCTGGTATTAAACTCACAACTCTTTGGGTCTAGTCACTGGATCTAACTGATGTCTTTATCCACTGGGCCATGTGTCACCTGAAGAAGGCTGGAGCATACAATGGCTGAAATGTTGTGAATATGGCAATGAAGATGAGGATAACAATTCGAATACTGTAAATAATGCAAGTAATCATAATACCTCATCTCAGAGATATAGACAGATATTGAAGAAGGCCGGAGTGTACAACAGCCGAAACGTTGTGAATATAGCAATGAAAATGAGGATAACAGTCAGAATAATGTAAATAATGCAAGTAGTCATAAAACCTCATCTCAGAGATATAGACAAATTTTTTATGCTGTTAAATATATTAACTTTGAACAAGTCTATTTCACAGGCTACTTCACTAGCGTAGTCTGATGCCCACTGCTTTCAAAATTGACTCTAGCCTTTCACCAAAGTTATGTTAGTCCCACAAACCACTTCACTAGCATAGTGACGTTGATCCTCATTGGGTATCTCAATGATTTGGGATTTTTACCAGTAGTTAGCAAAACGTTTGGGCAAAGTTTTGGTATATAGAATGGCTGATTGATTTTTTTACAATCATCAACATGGTGTAATGATTAGCAAGTTTGTTTCATAAGAACAATTATGACTGAGTAGTGAGTTCAATCCTTACTGGGCACTCCATACTTTCGACCTTGTGCCACATTTAAGCTACGCTTGAAAAATCACCATCATTTGAATAGTGCTTTTTTATAAAATATTAAAGTTCACCCATTAAAAGGCTCAAGAGTTATTCAAAGTAGAGGGTTACTGTTAAAAATAATTATGAAGAATATGTGTGATACAAGTGAAAGAAGAAAAAGTAGGAAATTGAGATTATGAGGATGAGGAGGATATATAACAATTGACCTTTGACTTGACTGCAAAATTATTGATAAATGCCATCAAATATAATTACTGTATTAAATGAGAAGAGATTTAAAGCACAAACTAAACTGAACAATTTATGATGGCTTTTACATTAAAATTAGCAAAAAAAAAAATACTTTTCAAATATCTTAAGTGGAACGAATGAATAACAAGGGAGATAACTGCTGCGTACAGTCAGTTCAGTACCACATGTGATACATGCTTGCGCAATTATTTATCTTGCAGTACACGACTGACGAGGCAGAAGATTTTTCCCACAGTAGGTTGCCAACCAAAGCTAAAAAACCCGGTCTATCTTGCTATTCAACCCATAGCTGGGAGGAATAGTGATGGATTCATACCTTTACCAAAGGTATTTGTGTTTAAGTAATTGCTACGTACAGTTGGCTTAAAAGATAAGCATACAAAGCTCTTTTTATTGTCAAAAGAAACTAAATTTGGTGATATTTATATAAGAAAAAGAAAACAAACGTACGATTTGAATGTCAGCTTTTTCTTGTTTCTTCTTCATTCTGTGTTTCCGTGCGGACAATTTGTTTCTCTCTTTCAATTCTTCCCTTCTCGTCAAATCTTCAGGCGTCAGCTATGAAAAGAAAAAGAAAAAAAAATGAAGAAAAATATCACAAATTAATACTTTTGTACGGTTCATTTTCTGCTGTAAGGTCAATAAATAACAGAATGGGTAATGGTTGGACTCCATTGTCCCTATAGAAGGTAACCATGATAAAAAATAAACATGGGGACCAGGCATAGGGCAAACGGCCACCACCTGAATCCAAGAAGAGCATTTCACCGAGAAGGCACTTAGGTAGGCCTCTGCTAGCCACATACACAGGATCCCTGCCGATCAGATGCACAAGGTAGGGACCAGGTATAGGGCAAGAAGAAACACCATCAGCAATTTTAGATAAAAGGTGGACACCAGGTATAGAACATGAGGAATCTTATTTTTTAGTAAGCGTCACAATTGAGGAAAAATATTCTTCTATTGATATCCAATGGGGGCTTAGGCAAGTCTCTCCAGGCCTTATACGCATAGTCTTCCCCGTTTTAATTAAGGGTGGGGACCAGGTATAGGGCAAGAAGTAACACGCCGGTGATCTGTCCTCTTGTTTCCATAATTGTTAAAATTTTAATCAAGTCATAGTAAGTAACTAATAAATTCATTCTCCCGTGGCTGTGAATATAAAAATCAATGAACTCACATCTTAAAACACAGAATATTTTTTAGAATTGTAATGACATTATTAAACTTGTCGTTGAAGAAAGTATAAACTCAACAAAAACTATTTGATAAATACTTTTCACATCAATAAAAATATATGATTGTTTAGTATTCTGAATTATCAATCAATTTAGCTGACCACATTCGAGATCATTGACTCTGTGATACTTTCATTAGCTGCATAGTATGGGCTTTGCTAGGGCTTCATACAGTTTTTAATTCAGAGTTTTCCTTCTAAACTGGTTTCCACACAAGGCTGAAGAACTCAATCTACCCTAACCCCAAGCTGGGAGGATTCATGCCTTTTCCTAAGAATATTTGCGTGAAAATTAATATACCGAAACTACACCACCCATACACCCGGTATTATATCGTTATTTGCTTTGTATTTCGTTACTTTTTACTTTTGAGGAGTATTTCATGCTGTTTCCTATTTTAGAGGAATATTTCGGAAAAAAAAACAAACAAGCCTGTAGAAAATGGCCGTTGACCAACCTAATTCAGATACCGGTCAACCGGTCTAGTCTGTTGCATTCACTTTCTCACCAATACCCTTGGGAAAGACATGAATCCATTGGTTCTTACCCCACCTCAAAGGCAAAGTAGGCTCTTGAGCCTTGGATGGTGGCCAGTCTAAGCGAAGTGAAACTCCGAATTCAAAAACTGTGGAGAAAGCATTTGTTTCTCCCAAGAAGTTGTGTCAATTCATTGGAGAAAAAAAGAAGCTGTGGATAGCTATAACTATCAACGCTCTGAATGGACACGGCATTAAAAATCAATAAATAGTAGTTCCAGCAGTAACCGCTAACAGTGGCTAACTAACTGGTAAAAGTTTTTTTACTTCTTGACGTCAACTTGACGTATTCCAACCTGTTATCCAAATATTTTCATCCCAACTAGGACACACCCATGCCACTGAATTCTTTTTTCTTTTCTTTCGTTTTTTCTTTCTTTCTTTTTTCTTTATTGAATTTGAATATATATATATATCTTTTATTTTTTTTTATTTCTATTATCACTGCCTTGTGCCAAGTTATTTTTGTCCTTGTTTCTTTCTTTTTTTTTTTTCTTTCTTAGTTGGTATCAGTGTCATCTCACAGCAACTTTAGGTATTATTACTTCAGTGGACATCCAGAATATGACCTTGCCACCATATACCACGTTTTTTTTGTTGTTTTTTTTTTGTTTTTGTTTTTTTAAATTATCAAGGCACATATTTGAATTGTCTGAGTCCTCACACTGTTAATTTTGTCTGTGTGTACGCGTAACACACATATTGCTTCATAACAGTTGAATCAAATAACATTAACAATCAAAGAAAACAAAAGAAAAAACGAAAAAGCAAAGCATAAAAAAATGATTTCTAATATCTAACTTTCAGTCGGATGCCTTATAGTTTTTTTTTTTTTTTTTTTTTGTGCAAATGATCAACAAGTCGTAAATCATTAGTAGCGGGTTCGATCTTCCCTGGGTACCCCATAGTTGCAACTTTGTAATATTCAACGAAAGTCAAGCTTAGCAAAATAACACATAACTTTCAGTTTCACAAAAATTACAAAAACCTAACGAATACGCCTCCCTGGTCCTAAGATTTTTGCTTTAATAATGTTTTAGTTGGGAACGATCTCCAGAATCGGTTTCGTTAATCAATTTAAAAACAATTAAATAAATAAAAATTATATGAAAAAAAAATTAATGAATTTTAATGAAAATTAAAATTATAAGCAAAAAAATTTAATGAATTAATTAAAAATAAAAAAAAATTAATGAATTAAAATAAAGATTATAAGCAAAAAAAAAATTAATGAATAAAAATAAAAATTTAAGCAAAAAAATAATTGATAAAAAAAAAAAATATATGGATGCCCTCCCACCCCCAAATCACCTGAATTCGAGTGGCGGGAATTTTTCTCAATCACGCATATCTGTATAAATTCAATGCGAATGAGCAAAACAAAAATGATATGAGTTTTTTTGGTAAAGTCGCCAACGGAGCTTTTACCGCTGATTAAATGTTCAGAAGACAGTTTAGTTTTTCGTTTATTTTGCTTTAATATTTTTAAAGGGAATGATATCCATGGTAGGTTTCATTAAATCAAGTTAAACAATTAAATAAATAAATAATATATATGCAAAAAAATAAATAAAATAAAATAATAAATTAAGATAAAAATTATATGCAAAAAACAAAATTATGGCCGGCCACGATCGCATGCGGGCGCACTTTTCAACATAAAAAGTGATATTATTAATTTTTTTAATTTTAATTTTTATTTTTTTTTAATTTTTTTTTTTTAGCTGTTTCTAATTAAGGGTGTGCGGTTGGTGTAGTGGATATCAGCACAAAAAGTGTAATCGGTGAGTAGAGTTCAAATTTCGAGCTAGTCTATTGCGTTCATTTTCGCACAAATGCTCTTGGGGAAAAGCATGCATCCGTTTTTTTTTTGTTTTGTTTTTTTCTCTCACCATCTATGGATTTTAAATTGAAAGGGTAGACTGAGATCTAGGAAAAGCAGCGACAAAAAAACAAAAACAAAAAAAAAGCATGCCAATTCACATAAAGAAAATTCAGAATGTTTTGGTCGCCTTCGTCATTAAAAAATTGGATATTAATTTTTTTAAGTATCAAACTTGAAAAAAATCAGAATGAATGAATAAGTTTGAAATGTACAACAAAACTTATTTTCTTTAATTTCAAGGACGAAAAAATGTTATTTGCAATAACGAAAAAAAACAAAACAAAAAAACTTGTTTAGATTTTATTTTTAACAATTATAGTTTCAACTAAAAAAATAAAAATAAAATCCGACAGCTTTAAAACTAAAAGCAAGAATAACCGCAAAAACAACAAAAAAAAGTTCTTAATCTTACCTGAGTTTCTTCTTTCTCTCTCCATTCAACAGTGAAACTTTCACCTTTGTTGAATTTTTTTAGTTGAATTTTTGATTTTAGTTCTAATTTAAGTATACTTGACAATTTTCCTTCATTTTCACACCTTTTCGCCGTTTCCTGTACTTCTTTATCTAAAGTTTCATTGCCGACGATTTCGTATAGCAATTCATCGATGTTCGATCCGAAACTCGATTGACTGTCGTCACTGAACATTGTCACTTGAGAAACTTCAAAAAACGTAAATAAATGAACTAATGAAGTGAACAAAAAAATAACTTTAAAAAAAAGTATATTTTCGTTCAGGAGCGTGACAAAAATAGATGTCTTTTCTGTCTTTTTTTTTTTTTTTCGGAGTCTGGTACGCCGATTTGATTAATAAAGAATGCTTCTGTTGTAAGATGACAACCGATCTCTTTCACGAGCGATCTGAGAATGAGCAAGGAAGCCCCCAAAGAACGTATTTATACTCAGGACTCGGACATGTTCAGACTTGAATCTCGACGTAGATATAACGTTTTGGGCTGTCAGTTGTGTGTCTGTGTGTTCGTGCTTTCTTTTTTTCTTTTTTTTTTTTTTTTTTAGATTGACTGCTGTTTGTGAACAAATAAAAAAAGAATGTTAAAACTGAGAGTATTTTAAAATCGATTTGTTCTTGTTATTGTCGTCGACGTAATAATAATAATAATAATATGCATAAAAGTAAATTATTATTGTCAGTTTTCCGTCACGACACAACAGTGCGTGTGTGTTACTGTTGTTACTTTTTATTTTTTAAAATAACACACACGCACTGTTGTGTCGTGACGGAAAACTGACAATATTTTCTTTTTTGATCAACATTGAAAAATAAGTGTAAATTTTTTGTTTTTAATTAAATTTTTCAATGTTGATCAAGTTGATAATGTTATAATTTTTTTGAAATAATAATAATAATAATAATAATAATTAAAAGAAAATATTGTCAGTTTTCCATCACGACACAAAAGTGCGTGTGTGTAAGTGTTGTTACTTTTATTTTTAAAAATAACACACACGCACTGTTGTGCCGTGATGGTAAACTGACAATATTTTCTTTTTATTATTATTATTATTATTTATGTCAAAATCATTATTATCAGCTTGATCAACATTGAAAACAAGCGTTAATTTTTTTTGTTTTTAATTAAATTTTTCAATGTTGATCAAGTTGATATTATGAAGATTTTTTTGACATTAATATTCTTTTCGAAAAATAATTGTTTTATGCTTAAAAAAAAACGATGCGGCATATAACTTTTTATTTTTTTTAACTCACGTCATTTCTTCTTTTTTTTTTTTTTTTTTTAAAGCCTTATTTTTGTTTTTGTATATAAACTAAACAAAAACATTATTCGACATAAAACTTAAAGCGATTTTTTCGAAACATAGGATTCATTTAAAAAAATGATGAAAAACTTATTTTGTGTGTGTTATCTATAAGAAAAATCTTTTAACTGTTAAAAGATTTTTCTTATAGATCACAGTTTCAGGAGACACACTATAAGCAAAGCAGTAAATAAATACAAGCGTAAAAAATTTCATAATGTCGATCACCGAGACAACCACGTGTTAAAAGCCGAAACACATTAGCTTTCTTTTTGCCCCTAGATTTTTACTTAATAATATTTACTAAATTAGAAATCTTTTGATGATTATGACTGATACAGTTTTTAAAATTAGTTCCTACAATGATTTTGACAAGTGTAACATAGCAGAGGCCGAAAAAAGTGTCATATTACGAATCACATCCCTAAGAAGAGTCACTAAGACCGATGTGTTAGAGAGAGTGTTACTGTTGAAGAACGTTTAGTAGGTAAAGTCTATTTGTTTTTATTTTATGAATTTTTAATTTTAAAACTTATCGATATTATTAAAAATTCAAACTAAATTTTAGGGTCCAAAACTTTTTAGAGTTTTAGACGATCGATCTCATGGCATCGTTGATCACTCATCAACCCCCAGGCTATGCACAAGGAAAACAGAAATAATTGTAAACAATTATTTTTTTTATTATTAAAAAAGTGTAAATCCCTTTGTCATCTTCCTTCATTATTGTTTCTTCTTGATAAGAATCCATTTGGCTTTGAGTTCCATTACTACTTTTTTCTCAATTTCGGTCACTTCCTATATTTCATGTGTTTTTTTGTTTGATAGTAATAATAATAATAATAAGTAGTAGTAGTAGAAGTAGTAGTACAGCTCACTCGCACATTGCGAAGAGCGTTCTGCTTTATGTAAAATGTGTGTGATAAGACTAACAGTTTTTTTCTTTCTTTTTCTTTCTTTTTTTTTCTTTTTTTTTTTTAGAGAAATTAATCAGTGGAAAATGTCATGAAGCCATTTCTGGCCTTAGGTCTCTGGTTGGGACCCGAAAGGAAATGTGTATACAAAAGAAATACAAAATAATAATAATAATAATAAATTAATAATAATAATAATAATAATATGCTCTCTGTCTGAGGCCGTCTTGTTTGAGATAAAAAAAAAATTATCATCATTAATGTCCTTGCTCCTAATCATTTGGTTGGGAATTGGCAAGTTTTTTTGTTTGTTCTTTTTTTTTTTTTTTAGTCTTACTACGTAACTACGATATATTTATCGACTCCCTTTTAACCCCTAGGCATATATCGACCCCACTGGATCGTCCTATCAACGCCAGGGATCGATGTCGACCACTTAGGAAACCCTTGGCTTTAAAAACCTAAAAAAAAAAAAGTACTTTCTACGCTAACGCGTGCGCGATTTTGTTTCCCTCTCGTATGTCTGTGTGCCTGTTTCTGTGATTTCAATTTAACTTAGCAAGACAAGACGCAAAGTCACCCTGCGTAGGGCACCTAGTGAGGGTCGGACTCACGGCATCTGACGGGTTAGTTTTCTAACCGTTGCTCCACAGGGAGACTCCACCCACGTTTTTTTACAACCTGTATGAAAAAAACAAAAAAAAACAAAAAAAAAAAAACACCGGAAAAAGTGGAATTATTTTTGTTGTTTTACCTTACAAACCAAAAGGATGTGTGGTTATGGAATTTCATTTTTTACATTCCTGTTTTGTTTTGGTTTGTTTGTTTTTTAAGGCTACACAGTAGAGTAGTAGTAATACCGAAAGTTGTTCTGGCGATTTCCACACACCCACTTTTAAATTATTTTTTTTCTGATATTTTTTTTAGTTTTTATGATTTTTGTTTGCTAGAAAATAAAAACCTTGTCTAAAAAAATTGTCGCGAACTAATTCACCAATGATTTTCAACTTCTTTGGTCGCTACTGTCTACTAGTTGGGGATTTAAGTAACGAACCTGTGGTTTGGTTTATAATAAACCGTTTATTAATTACATCTTACTATTAAAACACAGGACATTTTAAAATTTCAAATTCGTGACGACAATAATTGCTCATCTAAAACCCCATAGGTGTATTTGTAACATATGATACAAAAAATATAAATTCAATAGCGTTACAGAAGATCCTTGAGAAGAGCCCCGGTGAAGGTCGTTATGACTCATGCAAAGAACACATGGGGAAGCCTGACCCTAAAATAGGGATATGGTCAGAGAAATTGTTTGGAAGTCATTGAAAGACAGGGCTGGTGCGTACTACTCCCTACCTCCGACCTGATTGGGGGCCCTGGGCAGTACTTTGTGACCCTCGCTGTGTTATCAACATTTGCAATTTTTTTACCTGCACTTATAAATTAAGCAGAATTGATTATTAACTTTAGAACACTAACCATGGTGTATAATATCCAGCGCAAATTTTCCTATTTTTAATTACAATTTTCAGTACCTGATTTTCTTACCTAAATAATGTTTTTCAGTTCCTAATGTTAACTCAGAGTACAAAGTTTGAAGTGCATGTAAAATATTTCAAATAAAGATTTATATAGGTGTCCATAAAGTTCGTGTGCACTTTGAAAAATGTATAACTTTATTTGTATTTGCGATAGAAATAATTTGTAAAAAGGATTAGAAAGAAGTAAATCTATATTTTTAGGGTTTTATTGAAATTTTATTTAAGTTTCCACATCTCCTCCATCATTAGCAATACAAAGGATAATACGATTTTGCAGTTCACGGAAAATATTTGCCAACTGATTTACAGTAATGCCTGAAATCACATTAGTTATTTTAGCTATATTTAAAACTAGGTACATTAAACTTTATAACATTTTTTTACGGATTATTTCTGTCGGAAATACAAATAAAGTTATAAATTTTTTAAAGTGCATACGAACTTTATGGACACCCTGTATTTAATTTTTTTTTTTTTTTGATATTTTCAAAATCGGGTATGATATACCCATGGTTATTAGTGGTATAACTTTAACTGATTGCTAATGTTCTAACGTCAAAATCAGAGAAAATCGTTCATCCTTTTTAGGATGAACGATTTTCTCGGATTTTGACGTTATTCTGAGGTGATTTTTTGTCCAAACCCATGAATTGCTATATTTTTTATGGTGAATGTGTTAAAATTATACAACTTTTTAACAAGAAAAATCTCAAGTTGATGTTTTAAAATTGCCGCAAACATTGTTGATTTATTTAAGATGGAACGATCAGTAGCGAGGCATTTGCGATCAACCGTAAATGACGATGCACTCTTTATTGGAAAATGCTCAGGAAAAAATCGATGATCTGAATACTGTTTTTGTTTTGTTTTGTTTTTAAATGACATCAAATCAGTTTACATTACAAACATTAAAATCACTATTTGATGATTTTTTGTATGTTTTTTTTTGTAAAAAAAAATGTTAATAATTTTTAATACATAACCAGTTCACTGCCTTTAACCCTAACTCCTAACCCCTAAACCTAATCCATTCCAAAAGTTGGTAAATATCATACCATAAAATGAATAGTAGATACCCTACTATAGTAGTACCGAATGATTTATTATGACATGTCTCTAATGTTTAGACACATTGTAATTATTTTCATTTTTTCTAGTTGAATTGTTCACCTGTATTGCATATGGTCCATTATTACACATAATTAGGTTACAATAAAATTTGTATTTTATATGAATACTACCTTATGAAAATTGAGATGTAGTAGAGTGGGGGTCCGTATCAAAGATTTGGAGGGAGGCGTACCATAGATTCGGAGGGAGCGCTTAAGACCCTTGCACCGTCCCCGACTGAAAGAGGGAATCTTCCTTTGTTCTTTGCAAAAATCGAAACAGGCATCCAACATTCATTTAATTTCACAGCATCAAAAATAATAAAAGTAATTTCAGTTGAATGTAGAATTTACTTGTTTCACAGTAACAATCAACATACAACATCAAATCCTCACATTGGCTACACATATACCACACTTTCTCATAGCTTGACTTGTCATTTGTCAAAAATAAAAGCAGTTCGTGCACATATAGATCAACATATAAGTAAAAGTAATAAGTGAAATAATATTAACATCAGATAAATTTTAGTAGATAACACCAAAATTATATATAATTTATTTTCAGATAGTGTATCTGTAAAGGAACAAAATGAATAAAAAAGACAAATTTAAAAATCTTGATAAAACAATGACACCCTTAGTCTTGTATATAAACACGTACAACAAAATAAATACTAGTTCTGCTTAGATAAATTCTCTCATAGTACGAAACAAGTCAGCGAAGAATAGTGTTTTTCCTCGTCTTTTTGTTCATACACATATATATATATATATATATATATATATATATATATATATATATATATATATCATCACATAAGTTCTGTCCGAATTTTGAATAAAGAAAACAAGTGACCAAATTACAGATTCAATCAACAATGTATTTTCCCTGATTATCTATGACTTCCTTCCATCTATTAACAAGCTTACTAATTCCATTACTGTAAAATTCTTTTGACTTTGATTCGAAGAACTCACAAATGTCAGTTTTAACCTCTTCCTGTGTTACAAAAGCTGTTTCTTCCAAATGATTCTGTAAGCTACAAAACAAATGATAGTCTGAAGGAGCAAGATCGGGAGAATAAGGTGGATGAGAAATTTTCTCCCAACCAAGTTCTTCGATCATTTGTGACGTGATTCTTGCTGTGTGGGGTCGCGCATTGTCCTGATGAAACATCACCCCTTTTCGATTCACTAGAGCAGGTCTTTTTTTCTTCAAAGCTTGGTTCAAACGCTCTAATTGCTGACAGTATATTTGAGCATTAATTGTTGCATTAGGTGGTAAGAATTCAAAGTAGATTATTCCTTGGCGATCCCACCAGATTCAAAGAAGAACCTTTTGCCCATGAAGTTCCCTTCTCGGCTGTGGCTGGGGTCCTTCCCCTTTACCAAGCCACTGTCTACGACGTTTAACATTTCGATAAAAGATCCATTTTTCGTCGGCAGTCACAAGTCTATCCAAAAAAGGTGAAACAAGTTGGCGAGAATGGAGAGAAGAGCAGATGTCAACTCGTGATTTGAGGTTGTTTTCAGACAATTCATGAGACACCCATTTTCCAAGTTTAGGAACTTTTCCAAGTTGTTGAAGATGACGATGGACAGTTGTATGGTTTGAACTGAGAACCACTGCCAATTCCTCAACTGATAAAGCAGGATTTTCTTCAAGGGCTGCTTCAAGAAGCTTTTCATGAAACTCAACTGGACGTCCGGTTCGATCTTCATTTTCAAGGGTGAAATCTCCACTTCTGGATTTTGCAAACCATCTTCTGCAAGTTCTTTCGTTCACACATTCCTCTCCATAAACTGAGTGAATGTTTCTAGCCGCTTCGGCTGCTGAGTTTCCTTTCTTGAACTCATAAAGCATTATGTGCCTCAAATGATTCTTGGGTACTTCCATGTTAGCAAGGTTTTAATCAAACAAAATTTAATTTTATTGTTCTCTGAAATAAAATTTGATCAGTTTAAATGCATCTAAACATAAAAATAATGTTCAGCTTCATTAGACATTATAAAATACTCTTTAAATTTCGTTCATTATAACAAAAAGTTAAAATTCGGACAGAACTTATTGGATGACCTGATATAGATATATATATATTCGAATTCCAGTCGAATCTATTATATTCACTTACGTGCTAATACCCTTAGGAAAGTTATTAATCCTCTTCTTCCCCCCCCCAAGATCTGAGTAAGTAGCAGGACAGACCGGGTTCTATAGCCTTGGATGGCAACTGGTCTACCGCAGATAGAAATGGCAACCTACTGCGGGAAAAAATCTGCCTCGTCAGTCATGTATCGAAAGATACATGATCGCCTAAGTGTGTATCGCGCATGGCACATAACTGACTGAATTATTTCTTTGCGGTCCCGTTGTAAATGATCCACGGACCGGTACTAGTCCGCGTCCTGGTCGTTGGGGACAACGATTATTTTTGTTGTGATTTTCTAAGCGTAGCTTAGATGTGGCACAAGGCCGAAAGTATGGGGCACCCAGTAAGGATCGAACTCACTACTCAGTCATAAATGATCTAGCAAGACACGCTTCCGAACCATTACATCAGGTCGAGGTGCCTAAAAGATTATTTTTATATCTTCCTTTGTATTTTGGATTTAGTTTATAAGCAGAAAACGTAACGAATAAATGTTGCTTGCTAATGGCTCATTCAAGTTTGTCTTTTAACCAAAAGATGACAGAAAAAAATATAATTCACTCGCTTTATTTATAAAAGCAAACTTAGTTCTTACAATTCGATCCTAATGTTTTTCAAATATTTAAATTTAAGTCTTTCAATCTTCACTTTTCATTCGGGATTCATTCATCAGTTTATAACGAAACGCTTAGAGATGTTCACTTTCCACAGTAACTTAAACAAAAGGTTAGGAAGGAAGCATTATATCAATACTAACAAGAATGATGAGGGTGGACCTGAGAAATATATTTTTCCCCTGAAAAACTAAAGAGAGATATTTTATAAATTTCAACTGACCGCTCAGTCATTGAATTCCGAATGCTTCCTGCATGGAAACGGCTATTCTCACTATGACCAGGTTTACGGCCATATAGCGTTAAAATACTGGTTGCCATACGATCACCGAAGTTCAGCAACGCCGAGCCTGATAAGTAGCAAGATGGGTGACCGCTTGGGAATACCAGGTGCTGTAAGTTCAGATGTGCAGGTAGTGTAATGGATAACGGCTCAGAACTGTTAATCGGAGAGCCGAATTTCCAATTTCGGTTGGGTTCGTTATATTCACTAACGGGCAAATAAACTTGTGAAAGATAAGAATCCCACCTTCTCCCCCCAATTATGGGTTAATTAGTAAGACTTGTATCACTAAATCATTATCACCCCACAAAAAAATAAATTACAACATAAAACTATTTTCTTATTTAAAATAACCAGAAAAGGGTTGATAAGCCGTAAAAAACGAATCCATCAATCAATCATTATGACCATTAAGTTTTCTTTATTTCTCTTTGTGCGTCCGTCCGTGTGTGCGTGTTCCATTTATTAAACGCCCACCACTATTGGTGAGAAGAACGATTTTTAAAAAATCAATTGCTTTTAGAATATAATAGATTTTTAATTAAAATTGGAATAGCGAAAGATGCCTTCTAAAAGCTGAGCAAAGTATTAAGAAACAAGAAAATTTCGCTAGAAACAAAGATAACAGCGTTGAACTGTTATATTGGTCCTTTCATATGGCAGTAATGTTAGACAGTTTCATCACAGATTAAGTAGAGACTCGAGGCAACAGAGATGTGGTTCTGCAGAAGGATGCTGAGAATATCATGGACTGAAGATGTGATTAATAGGGAAGTTTTTAAAAAAATGGAAAAAATACAATTAAAATCAGAAAAAAATAGTTCAATCTTTAGGACATATAATGAAATAATTTGACACTCACAAGACATATTGAAGGCAAGAGAAATAGAGGAAAGCAGCGAATAAGAAGATTGATTTGTTTTTTACGACTTATCAACCTTTTTCAGGTTATTTAAAACCAGAAAAAACTTTTTGGGGAGATAATAATTTTTTACTGATACAAGTTCTACTAATTAACCCATAGCTTGAGGGGGAGAAGAGGCTGATTTATACCTTTCCCAAGGGTATTTACAAGTAAGTGAATATAACGAATCTGTTGTAATTGGAACTCGACTCTCCGATTTTCAATTCTGAGCTGTTATCTATTGCTCCACCCGCTCATCCAAGCTTACAGCACCTGGGATTCTCAAGCGCTCACGCATCTAGATACTGACCAGATTTAACATTGCTTAACTTCGGTGATCTTGCAAAAACCGGTGATTTATCGGGATATGACAGTAAGCCAAAAAGAACATCCAATAATAGTCCTCTTAAAACTAATGTCCTATTGTCTCCGTAACGACGGGATTTCGTTTATCTTGAGACCTGGTAATGATTGAAACTATTATTACTGCAGATTAAACAGAAAACGTTTAACTGTTTATATAATCCAGTTTTCTATTTCACTGTGTACAGATGTAACTTTATTGGCTTCCTTTCAGTGCGTCTGGCTTTCTGAATTTGAAGATTCAATTTATTTTTATCTTTAACCGACAAGGAAATTCAATACTGTCGTTCTGTGTCATTTTTCTCATAGTCGTTGGTGTTTATTTTTTTTTTTTTAAATAAGAGGCATTTACTCGGCACACCTTCTAGTCTACAAAGTTGTAGGACAACACGTGACCATCGATCTCATTGATAATGTTATCCACCACCCAAAACTATTTAACCATCGCATTTACGGTATCATTCTACCGGTACCTGGTAATCATTCTAAACTATACTTTAGAGAATACTTCTATATGTACCTGGAAATCATTCCAAACTGTACTGGGTAGGTGGATGTTTTTGGCAGTCATTCGCTATTAGATTGTACCAACACTGGTTGCTACCTCAAGGTAATCATTCTAAACTATTCCCTATTTCTATAAGTACCTGGAAATCATTCTAAACTGTACCATTCTACCGGTACATAGAAATCATTCTAAACTGTACCTCAGAGTATCATTCTATTGGTACCTGGTAAGCATTCTAAACTGTACTTTACGGTATCATTCTACTGGTATCCAGTAGACTGTCCTATGATATAGCCGGACAAAAAAAAAGCTAAGAAATATAAAACGTCTAAATTTTTGAGCATTTTTAGTCAGCATATTTTTTTACGAGCTCAAGAAATCGTTTATAAAATTTAAGAAAAAATTGAAATTAAAATAAAATTAAAGTTTGCTTTGCAGACGTCATATATAAATTATTTTGTATGTTTGTATGTAAGTCCTGTTGACTCTCCGAGGCAATATAACGCCCCGGTTTGATCACGCAAGGCGTTGCTGCTAGGGTTTATGTAACAATAAAGCTTTTACGGGGTGCAGTTGCTCGACCCGCGCCCAACCGGTTTTGAATTCAGAATTTCCTTTTTCTTAGACTGGTTGCTAATCAAGGTTAGAGATGCCAATCTGCGCTACGATTCATCCTCAGCTAGGTGGTGGAAGAGGTGGATGCACACTTGTTTGAAGGGTATTTGTGCGAACGCTGGAATTTCAACTCGAAACGCCAAGCTCACTTTACGTGCCAATGGCTATTACGCTGCAAGCACGTTCTCAGTTACCAATGTAAAGAAAATTACGTTAGTTTAGAAATAATTTAAGCCATTGGCCGAAGTGATTACTTTTCAAAGAAGCTAAAGAAACCAAAAGCTAAGAAAAGTACGAAGAAACAGGAAAATTATGTAATATCTTCTATAGTAGTGAATGCTGTACGATCTTCCATCAGATAAAAAGAAGACTGTAAGCAACAAAAAAAAAAATGGTTCTACAGTAGGATGATGAGAATACCATTGATGGAGCGCGTAAACAACGAAGAATTCTTAAGGAAAATGGAAACAAAAAGAAGACTTATACCCCGAATCAAAAAGAGACAGCTGAAATTTCATGGATTCATGAGGCAGGAGGTTTTGGAGAATATGACATTCACAAGACATATCAAAGGAAAAGGGGACAAGAGAAGTTAACGGACTTACCTACCTGATAGCATGTCAAAGGGGAAAAAATATTGCTAAGGAGTACAAGGGATAGAAAGTTGTGGAGACCCATGATCGCCAACTTTCTGAAAGGAGACAACACAGAGAAAAAAGATGTGATGAGTGAGTGACAATATAAACGTTGTCAAATATGCATGAGGTGTCCAAATACTCCATTGATATAGCTATATTATTTGTAGTTTTTATTCATCGTTTTATTGTCTTGAGTGTATTTTATGATTTTATAGGATAAACAAAAATGAAAAAAAAAGCTTTTATTTTTAAAAATTAAATTAAAAATCATTATTAATCAATTCTAATATACAAATAGTAGGTTTCATTTTATTTTCAGTAAACAAATAAAACAGCTTGTAATTCAAACCAATACGAAAGTTACTTGACTAATAACGAAAATTTGGTTTGCCACTTTCTAAATATTAATAAAAATAAACAATTTTTGCTGTGTTTAAACACTCCGCGATACAAATGGATGGTTAAGATTAGATAAGTAATTGTTGATAAAGCTTTCCTTTCTTTATCTAAAAATTAAATCATTGCCCAACAAATTCATTATCAAGTAGACGAACTGAAAACCTCATAAAAACGTTCTCCTCCTCCTCCTCCTCCTTCGTCATCGTCTTTTTTTTTATTATTATTTATTTGCAGGTTATCTAATGACAAAAATATTTTTAGATTGTAAGAATTTTTTTGTATATAGTAATGTTTTACTGATACATGACCTACTAATTAGCATATAGCTGGAAGAGATAAGTGAATTCATAACTTTCCCAAGAATATTTGTGCGTAAGTAAATTTAACGAACCCGACTAGAATTAGAACTCGGCTCTCCGATTAACAATTCCGAACCGTTATCCATTACACCACCTGCATATCTGTGACACCCACCGGTGGTCGCGGCCGCAGTCCAGCGCCAATATGTGACGTCCACTGGTCGCGACGTCAATATATGACACTGCGCTGTCGGCCTGTGGTCAACTCCCAGTTGCGGCGCGAAGCTGTAAGGTTTCTTCCACCAGCGTTTGGGGTTGACCCGTTGTCGCTGCCACCAGCCTGTGTCCCGGTCGATCTGGTCGTTCCCGGTTCGATACCAACTTGTCGTTCCCAGCTCACTTTCAACGTCTGGTTACCGAAGTAACTACTTTGATCTCAAGTCTAACCTACCCACGTTGTGATTTTGATCTTAGGTAGACGGAATCAATCAGACGTCGGGCCGTAGTGCAAGCTGAATCCGGGGTAAAGGTGATACCGCACAAGCGTAAGTAAAAATAATAATAAAACAACTCAAGAGGTTCAAATATGTTGAGAAATAACAATTGTCTTTATCTGTTGAATACAGGAGTGTGTTTCTTTCCCAGCCCGTTTCTATGGATTCGTGACACTTTTTGCGTTTCTTAAGCGAGTTTGGTATCTTAAGTCGTTCGTTAATAAAAACTTGCTTTTGGTAGGAAGACTAAGTCGAAAAGGACGTGGAAATCTTTCGGTCAGCTTCTGCGAGGCTCGTCTCCAACTTCTCGAACCAACTCCAAACTCGAACTGTCTGGAACTGCGAACTCGCTGAAAAACTGACTAGCTGCTTCGAGATGTTCGTTTATATGAACACCGACCCAAACTCGGTGTGTGTGTGTGGGGGGGGGACGTGGTTTGGGTTCTATGACAATTCTCAATTCCCAACAAGAATTCTCTTTGTTCTTAGGCCAGGAAAATTAATTACTTCCCATTTTTGAAAGAGTAATCACTTTCCATTTCGGGGGTTTCTCCCTCGTCCACGAGGGAAGGTCGGAGGAGAGTTATCCTCCTAGACTCCTCCTCTCTCACATTGGTATCTCATACCAATCCCCTCAGTCGGTGTTAACAAATTCTCCGTCTTTCTCATACATTCATCTCCGCCTATCACCCATGCTACAGATCTCTCGGCAGTGTGGGTGTATCTAGACTGACCCTCTTAGAATTATCATGGAGAATTTTGTTTACAAAATCCCTTTTTTTCTTTTTCTTTTTCCTTTTCCTTCGGCCAAAACATTTACAAATCCCAGATTGCCGAATAATTCTCATCACATCTTGATTTTGGGAACACTCAGATTCACTTTTAACTAGGTGGTC